GTCGTCGTCATCGTCATTCTCAGTCAAACTCCTGCTAGTCGTTGCTGTGATGGGGACTGTCGTGACACTAGACGCAGCTATGAAACACAAAAAGGGAGTTCAGTACAAACGCCGCGGTTAGTATCCGTGGCCCAAACCGGACCTTCTCTAGATACATAATCAGACATAAGTACTGAAATAACGGATTGAGATAAAAGATATCTTAAATTACATTTTATACTTAAGAAATGAATCTACTTTAGACGTAAAATACGGAAAATTACCATTAACTTTGAAGAATCATCTGCGTTTGGAGAGCCTTCCATGGCCATGATTTTGGTATATATAGTTCCTTTTGGAACACAACGCCATTAGGGTAGTATACTTAAACATTTTCAACAGTCATCACACACCACGTGGAAGAGGTGTCTTTTGAGATAACTACAAGCTTCAGAGTGAGGACACTCTTGCTCACAGTTCTCGTCTGGTGATTTGTTGCAGAAACGAAATGCTGTGAGAAAGGAACAGCCATTTTGTACTTTTTTATTAGCCCCATTGGACACCTGTGGCATGAATCGAAATGTGCAATCTGGACCAATTCTGTCAAGCTTTTAGAACGAAAGAGACAATTTTCCACGAAACAGGATTGTTACCCTTGTTGAAGAAATACCGTGCCGCCCACAAGAAGTAATTGTAGTTCGAGGTAGAGACAGACTGTTAGACAAGGGGACTTTATGCACACATGTTGATGCTAATTTTGTGTCAAATTAATGAAAGTTGTAACTGCCCTTTTTTCATGAACATCTTTTATCTCTGTGAAAATCACTGTGGAACATCAGATTTGAGCGGACGCATGCTCTTAATTTGAATTAATGGTATAAAATACGGATATCGTTACGGGTGTTTTCTACTTTCTGTCCAGTGAGACGATTAAGATTTGGTGTCCGCAGTAAAATCACTATTTAAAATAGTTCACAGCTCTGAGGTGATTCTTTGTAAACAAAAACACGTGAAATTCATGGTGGGACAACCATTTTTGACCAATTGTGTAGTTTTGAGTAGGATAACTACCACTAGTGCGTTTTATTATATGCTTTCAATTCGATTTCTTCCCATAAGAAACAGAGGTAACCTACAAGGTAGTCAAGATTAATTTGAATAAAATGCAGTATTAGGCCTTTTTTGCCTGTCTGAGTATTTTTTGGGTTATTATTATTATTATTATTATTATTATTATTATTATTTTTTTTTTTTTTTTGGGGGGGGGGGGTAGGTGTATTAAAAACTCGTAGCAGTAATTTGTATGCGTTGCTATTGCTGGTTATATGGTCAACATTTCAAATCTCACCCAATATAAATCAGTAGCGGTTCACACAACTAAAATTTCCTGCCTGTTTTATGAACAGAAATACATTGCCTTAGTCCCTTACCAACAAGTAGTTATACTCTATTTCAAACGAACGTTTATGGGAATACGTTGAAATGTAGCAAGGTTTTCATTGTGAAAGATAAGATCAAGTTTCGGTTCAAAATTCTTTGTTGGGACAAGCACATGACAGTAATGTTTTCTAAACAAAAACTCACACGAATGAAGCGGATCCTCTTCTTTCGTGACCTGAAATGTTAATGGATCATTGTTAAACACATATTTAGCCACTTCATGTGAATGCCATGCTGCATGTGCATGTAGTGATGTCTCAAAGGCTTAACATGCGCGTTTGATCTTCAAAAAAAAAAAAAAAAAGAAAATTGCCCTTTATTTCCAAGGTATACAATTTACATTGTACAAAACCATCGATAAAAAGCAGTTTTGAGATCAAAACTCCCAAAATCAAGAGAGAAAATAGTTTAAGGCTCTTTTTACTTTACGAGAATGACTATCAAACTAGAATCTCATATATATATATATATATATATATATATATATATATATATATATATATATATATATCAAAAACAGGTGTATGGATTATCGATAACATACCATGGTGATCAGCGATAAATTCGAGAAAAAACAACATTTTTTCTTATTCCATGTATAACGCGCTTTTCATGCCTGTGGCAATCTTTTTAAATGCCAACAACGGTTCATGAAACCACAGAGTCGTGAAATGACCATATAAGTACAGGCGATTTTTACTTGTTAGGATTTAAGCAATTGGATATATACCTGTAGGCCTTAAAGCTGTTTTTAGGGTCATTCCACAAAAAAGGCCAATCTGTAAGTACCGTCTCAATACACTAAGCAAAGTCCATGGATAATCGATTAGTCTTAACACAGATGTCCACTATGAAAACACAATGGAAACAGATGTTGAAGGCTTTTATTAATGATGGTACACATAAAAATTCAAACTCGATGATGGATGAAAAGATTTTTTTTTCATATTATTGGTTAGGGTACACCTTGTTTACTTTAGAAATGTGTTGAAATTTCGAAGGTAAAAAAAAAACATTTTGCTTTGCACGTCAGCCAATCAATCATCCAGCTCTCGAAAAAAGAGGGCTTGAACAACAAAAAATAAATAATAATAATAATAATAATAATAATAATAATAATTAATAAATAAAGAAAAGAAAAAAAAACACGCAAATGATTTTCAAAGAAACTACCTAGTTGACACACGGACTCACTTCAACGGTCATGCACACAACGTCCGAGGGGCATGTGCGCAAGTCGACCATTATTTTCTTCATTATCATTTTATCAGTTTACATGATACATCGAAAACTTTCACAGAAACATGGTTCATTACACTACCTTTTCATAATATACATAGCCATCTCTGGGTACAAGAACCGAACTCCCGCCTTCACTGATGGCTACCGAGTTAAGCTGACATTGTGTGGTGGCTGTGGCGGAGTTTACTTTGTAATTGAACGACTTGCATCTATTCTCCGCCAAACATTTAACGGTGCATTCTCGGACGCTCTTGACTTGAGTGCGGTCCAGGTCGTCCCCTCCTCTTAAGATGCGGTTGACAGTATTGACGCCGCCAATGTTATCCATTCTGGTCATTACAACAGTGCGATATGCTGGTTGAACCAAATTCAGTTGGCAAACTGCCGCAAAAAGGAACACCAGGATAAATGAAAACATGGCTTTTAGTCGTTAGTTTTCTGCCACGATATGCATCAGCTGCTCAGTTTTGCTTGTTTTGATAATGTTTTGATGGCCTTTTAACAGTACACCATAACGCGGACATCGTATAGATACTGGGCTACTAGTTAAGGCCGTCAAATCAGACTCTGCTTGTCATCTAATTTGGAGTAAACTGTACAGAGTGTTTGCTTCCCCAGTCATCAAAGGTCAACACGAGGTTTCGAACGCTGTGAAAAGACACCTCCTTGTCCTGTCATTGAGACGCGGCGTCCCTTCACGTGCAGTTTATTGAATAATGTGTCATTAGTCAGTGCAGGTGGCGATCATTGTACGTTCTCCCGTTACCATGGATTGAATTGCTGTATAACCTGTGATATCCATTAGCGGCATGGTACACACTGGCTGATGCCATCAGATGCCCTTCTTGTAAACACCTTATAGATGTTAGTTCTTCTAGAGAAGACGTAATGAAGGAAATTGGAGTTAAAGAATACCAGATAATTGATCGTACGCTTGTTCTGATGTCACAAGAGACGTTTTGCTGGGAAATTTGACTCACAGCTACGGTTTATGTATAGTTTGTTGACAGAATTCGACTTTAAGGTGCTGTCGTAGATTAACAATCTAAATCACGGCTATTATTAAGATGGCCAATCTCAACCAGATTTTAATGTAATGTCCTGTTATTGTGAGTTCCCCACTGGTCGGTACTGGAGGTCAATGGAAGAAGATGGGACCCGTCCTTTCCCCTTTTCCAAAATAATGACCAATCCAACTGAAAACCCTTGCCAAAAGAGAAGGAAACAATTATCTAATTAGACTTTTGGAATTACCTCAAAGTACAACGACGATATTTCTTGTGTTTGTTAAATTGCTAGCTACATATACCGCTGTCACATGGTAGCAGTAGCGGGTAAAATCTTCCCACGTTTTCTTGAGCAATTTGAGATGGATGGACAGGTTGCAGTATAAATGTATATTTAGGTATCATTGTTTTTTTCATTGATAAATTGCATGCTGTTTCTCGACTTTTTTTGACGCGTTGCATGTCTCCCCTCTCATCATACAAAAAGAACGCCTGCAAGAACAGAAGACCAGTAACGTTTGAGATATGAATAGTTCACACGAAGTCAATTTAGACACAAAATGACAGATTGGCGACAAAAAGATAAGATACCTAATGGTATCGAACAATAGGCAATGCGTGAAGAACAGAGACCGGTATTTAGCTGATGTCTACTTCAAATCGCTCTACCGGGCACATATCTTAGATAAAGCTGTCACAAAAACACTTTAACGTAACTCGATACGTTAAACACTTGTTTATGTGCGTGTGATTTGAATCACATATCAGAAATGTCAGGTCTTGGTGACCTGCCAGAAATCATGATAAATAGCAGGTCAACGTCATAATAGCTTAACATGTCTGTTTTTCTGACTGTATTAATGCACCCGTCCATCCATGTACGTTAAGGTGAACGCGAAAGCCAGTTGCAGCCTATTAGCATACGTTTAATGCATTTTGTACTCGCAAAAACTATAGAGCCAAAATCATTTTTAGATGAAAATACAGTGGGATACTCTCACATTTGCTTTCTTTAAATTATGTCAAAGTTTCTGTTCGAGTTGTTTTTTTTAACAAGAGACTTATATGCTTTGCTTCTAGCTCCATCTATCGGTTTGGAAGTTCGCAAAACTTGAACTTTGAGGTATGAAGTGACAGCGCAACATGAACTGTAACAGGTGTGTTTATATGTGTAGTTCGTCCGTTGGAATCGACAAAGAGCATCTAGTCATCCTATGAGTTAGTGATTTGTATTCTGTAAAATAGCTATCGATTTTTTTCTGAAATCATATGGTGGATGAGCACTTAAATTTACTATTTACATACATGTAATTAATTTTGTATCATATTTTCAGCGTTATGGATTTATGCATATTCATCCCTCTCTGTAGCAAGCGAGTTTAATTTATACTCTGTCAGTTTTTTCCATTATGGGTTTACATATATTTACCCCTCTAAGAAACAAGCGTATTTAATCCCACAACTTCAATTGTCTATTTCTATGAAACAAATGTACACAGTCAGAAGAACAAATGTAAGTAATTGAATTGTCTGGATTTATGGTAAGTTTTGTATCTTCACCGGAAGTGTTCTATGTGTGATCCATATTTGTTTATATAACGGTAAGTGTTCGGTTTTCCCGGAATTGCTGTCCAGCCTTCTGTCTACGTGAAGCAAACATCTATGTGGGGAGTTTTGCCTGGAAGGAAAGTGGAAGAGTTGATTTGAACGGTCTTTTCTTACCTGTTGACAATTTTTAAAAGAGTTTTGGATTCAGTTTTGAATGGCATTTGCATCAAAATATATATTGGTTTCCTGGTTAAATTACAATTCAACATTTGCCTTGGCTAAAAAAATAAAGTTAAGTATATTTATCGGATTAGATTAAAAAACAAACACCAAAAACCCTACAGAACTTTTACAGGTGCTACAACTATGTCAAATACTTCCTCGCTGTTTATTGGCCATTGCCCATCCTATTAACCATTCCCTATATATCAAATTGATTTTTAATTTTGAAAACGTCTTGTGTTAAATTATATGTTGCTGTGTTTACAAGAACACACTGCGCATTCAGAGCAAGTTGATCTGCGGACTAACAGATACGCGGATCAAATTTGGTGCCACCTGAAAGCATGCCGAGACTTAATTGCTCTGACCCCTGCTGGGGCGGCGAGTGGGGGAATCAAGAATCCTTTCTCAAGAGCGAGTTATATGTGATACGCGAACGAGTTAGTCCACAGATCATCTTTGTTGTGAATGCTCTCACATACCAGTGTAATTCTCATACATCTGGCGTCCCTCCACCTGATGTTTGGCGCACAGGGCGCGGTATCCCCCTGATGCCTGGAAGCTTTCAAACGCTTTGTTCCACCATATGGGAAGAGGAGAGTCTTTTTTGACTAAGATTCCTGTTCCATTGGCACAACGAGTGGCGTCTGATGCAACGCTGAGTTTCTTCAAACCCTTAGTAAAGACGTCGTAGGGGTTATAGCTATAGTAAAATCCGTCAGCCTAAAATGTGGAATTTTTCATCATTTGAAGTAACTTTAACCATTGCTTGTATAGTAGGCTTTTGCTTTTACTCATGGCAAATTTAGAGAAAATCCATGTCGAAATTCATAAAGAAATTTTGCCGATTTTTCAATAATATTGCCTTGGACCCAATTCCCATGCCTTGATAGATCAACCAGGATCGACCCATACTGAATCAGATAGGGGGTACTAAACTGTCGTTATTAGCTTCAGTAGACGTTTCAGAAATTTAGGCCGCTTAAGCTAAAAGAAATATAAGGAGAATCTCCTCGATCCTGCTAAATCTACTTAGGTATGGGAAAAGGGTCTTATTAATAACTATTATTATTATTATTATTAATATTATTATTATTATTATTATTATTTTCTATCTGTGAACCTACCGTTCTGTTCAAGACCATAGCCCGAGCCTCGGCTGCATCTCTAGCCCACATGGTGCCGAATCTAGTCTGTCCCTGACTTCTAAGACAATCAGGACTCGCATACCACCCTTTTACAAACACTAAAACACAGATCGTAGAAATGAATTGCAATAATGGAATGAATTTTAAAGACTTTTTATTTAAGAGGTCGGTACCACTTTGAAACAGTCTACAATTTCTAGCGGCGCGTTGGACCAATTTGAATCTTTTCAAGGAAATGACATAAACTGCTAATGCTCTGCATCATTAACATGTCAATTTGTAAATAGGCACGTGAAGTATTTAACTAACGCAGCTTTTTGGTTCAGGCTAACGGCCCTACTTTATTCATCCTTGAATAAATGCCATGAATTACAAAGTTTAATTTAAAAGAAAGGATTTCCTTCGCATAACGGAAAACGGAAAATGCACTATAAGTCTTCGTACCTATCAGATTTTCATGAAGGATGTTGATATCTGGACTATCTGGATGCACAAAGAGACCCAGGAGCGAGGGATAGAACGGCTTGGTAAAATCTAAAATGTTCTTCCGATAGGTTGTTAGACCCCATGAAATACACGCGTCAAACCAGCCTGCACTCAGACCTAAAAAGTATCAAGATGGAGACATTTTGAAGTCACACATCTCCAGAAATGCACTGCATGACGTCACGCTTAGCCCACTGCGCATTCGTGCACTTTTAATGAGTTGCTAGATTGCCATAGGAAAATGAATGGGTTCGCGATTCGTGGGTAATTCGTGATAATTGACAAACTAACGGCCTGATGCCGATAGACAGCAACGCTGTGCTATGCTTCAAGCAACTCCTGACCAAATATCGCTAGGGTTTTTTTTAAA